TCCCTCAGACAACAACATGCCACAGGCTCACATGAAGACAAGAGGGTTACATTTGTCACTGACAAAAGAGTATTAAAAACTTCTCGTCACCCTATTTGTCATCTGTCCCACGAACAGTTAACACAAAAGGCCTCTGGATGTTTATATTCTTTCTTTGGCAGGAGCCGAAGTGTAATATCTCTCCCAGACAGGGTATCAGGTTACATTTATGCACACACTGAAGCTGCAGTGAGAAGTCATTCATCATTCCTACGACCTTGTGTTATGTTCTCCTAGATTTTGTCAACACAAGCAAGTTTCCGCCAAGACAAGAACCTGACTTCTTCCACACTGATCTGAGGGAGAGTTCCCAGGCTTCTTGGCACATTTTTAGAAGAAATGTCAGCAACAAGATGGAAAGAACCTCATTCGATTGTTAAACTCAGGAAACAGCCACCCTTATGTCAGGATAGAGTGCAGCAACTTGGAACCTTTTCAATATAGCTGAATATTTCAATAAATCGATGCATTCATAAATACATACTAATGTTAGGATATAACTGGAGTGGAAAAAAAGCATTACCCCATATACATTTAGACACATTTATATTGTATAATCGGAATTTTTTTCCAATTAATTTCATTGCATCTTCTGTGTTTATACTTTTTGAAAGTTGTTTTGTATTCTTATATGAAATGTTTTGAATTGAAAATGTATTTCAGTACTAAAACTGCTATGACAATATGTGTATTATTATTATTATTATTATTATTAACCAACATTTGTTCAACAGGTAATACAATTCATTTGGATTTTGAGTGTTTGTATGATTTTGTGGACTTTCTCATAATCAAATATCCACTATGTTTTCTTCCTGAAAAGTTCACTTTTGAAGATGTTTTTCACCAGATAGGAATGAATCCTTAGCCTGTGAGCTACTCTCAGCAGGATACGCTCCCATAATCAACATTTAAACAACACTTCAATAGAAGTCTCTTTCCTCTTCATCCCTCTGAATCAGAGTCTTGCTCTGCAGTTTGTTTGTGGATTTGATGTCGGTGCCAGCTAGGAAGCAAGTGGGTGCAATGATGTTCTCCTGGTAAGATATAGATCAAAACTTCACCGTAGTCAAAAAACATACACAAAAAAAGCTAACACACAACAGATGAAACACTAACTGTAAATATATTCCCTGAAAAACTAAAAACACAATTTCTCGCACAGTCAGTCATTACTTGGTCGTGATGGGAGCATTCGCAGTGAAGCAAATAAGAGAGGAAAATAAATAATAAGAAAGAGGTGGAAGAACAATCCAGACTATATGGCTTAGGTGTGTGAAGGTTTGCAGACATTATTTCCTTGAGGCAGCGATATCTGCAGGTGTGTGTGTGTGTGTGTGTGTGTGTGTGTGTGTGTGTGTGGTGTGTGTGTGTGTGTGTGTGTGTGTGTGTGTGTGTGTGTGTGTGTGTGTGTGTGTGTGTGTGGGAGTAAGCGGTAGGTTTCAATAGAGGCAGCTTGATAACGCTCTCCATTCAGCTGTGTTAATAATATCCCACTCCGATGGGCCCTCAATCCTCCGAGTGTTCACAAACACTCAAACACATATGGCTGTTATACTGCTGATGACTTTGCTATAGAGCCGTGCAATCAGAACAGAAAACTCTCGCTACATTTAGAGCTATGGAGGAAAGTATGTGGACAAACCAACATAAACCTACATGTTTGTGTGGAACACCCTGACAGCAGCCCCTCTACTGAAAATGCATAAAAACTGGAGAAAAACATCACATTTAGAGTCTTCATAACTGGTAATTAGGGGTTGACCCTAACATTACACTGCAGTATTTTGGTCAGTGGTGTCCACATACTTTTGGGGATGTAGTTTGTCTCTTAAATCTCGTTTTTACCCCCTTCATCTCTCGTCTGTTTGTGTACATGCAGAGCGTTTCAATTCAACCAAAAGGCATTATGCAATCAACATTTATGCTCCAGATCTATGTGTGTGTGTGGTTGAGTAAGGGAGACAGAGAGCCTGTGCCTCTTCTAATTAAATGGAACAGACAGGGAAGAAGGGGATGGGGGGGTTGAGAGAGAGAAATGGATAGGGAGAGAGGCTCTTGTTTAATTTTAAGTCAAGCATCATCATTACCAATCATTAGGATTCCGCCACGCTCTGTTTTGTCCATGATTATCATTAGTGTCCTCTGAAACAATGTGTCTGTGGGTTGTTGAGTGGTGTTCAACGTGCCCGACCAACGCTGTCATATTTAGCATGTTTGCGGGAATTTAATCTGGGAAAAAATGTATTTGTGTCACAGTGTTATCCGTCTCACTCTGAATCACTTCGTATTAACCTCCGAGGTTAGGACGTGTTTTCAGATAGATTTTTGTTGCAGGATTACGGAGAAACTGGTGGCCTGATTTTTCAAAAACTTGATAGAAGGGTTTATGGCAAAGAAAGAACTCATCACATTTTGGGATGGATCCGAATCACAAAGCGGTTAAACACTACTCAAACAATAAAATATACAAAATTACATCAAAAAGTACTTTAACCGTGACGCTTCCTTAATAAACAAAATAGGAAGTTTAAGTGAGTCTAAACTGAATCTATAGCATATACCTCCACCAACCAGTCAACATTCAATTTACATTCATGTCAGATCAAAATGTTATCACTTAACCCTTTTATCCTAGACATTTTTGTGAATAGTCATAAATAGCATATTCATTTTGAGGGATAGACAACACGTGTTGTAAGTTCACAGAGACCAAGGCCTTGGTCTTTAAAATTAATAAGTTCCTCCTTTGTGCAAAAATTGGTAGATATTTCCTGAAGGCGTCCTTGAGATATATCGTCAAGAATAAGACGATACAGACACACATATTAAAGTATGCACACTCATATGCCAGCAAGCTTACATTAATTGATGGATTTGGTTTTAGGACAAGATATTGGGAAAGTTTGCTGTCCCTTAGTTTCATTTCAATCAATAGTTTCCGTTGGCAGTGGGAATGTAAATCCCCCTCAACCCATTACATTACTCTGAGCAAGTCACAAGGACAAAACTGCACAGGCGTAAAAATATATATTCCTATATTTACCATGCATGACTGCTTTCCGAGCAATTAAATAGCATTACAAACACAGTGTGTGCAGAAGAGGTCATTTAGGATATTTCTGAGCCCCAATTGTATTGGCCGCCTGGTTGGTTAAATGCATCTTCTTATGAACCATCACATTTCCCTGATCTCTTGTGTGTGTGTGCCCTCTCAAAAGGCTTTCAGGGTTCTTCCCTCAGGGTATCACATCCCAACACCTGCACAGATTATATCTAGAGGATGTTCTCTCACAATCATGCGTATGACAGTGTGACGGTTACAAGCTGCAGCTAAGAATCATCAACAACAACAACAACACTGAAGTGTCCGTAATTATAGGAAAAAAGCCTCTTCAAAGCTGTTAGAGCATTTATATGACAGTTAACAAGAGTTCAGACTAAAAGCCTTGCTTTGGCAGCCTGCTGGCCCTAGTAGTTGGCATAGCAAACAAAAAAGATACGACAGGCTCTGCTTTAGCGTCCAATAAATTACAGCAAGCTCTGAAAAATGTCTCTGACCAATCAAATATTTTTTCATATGAAATCATCTCTCCATAATAGCAAGCTTCTACAACACACAGCTCATATAGGTGGACCAAGTCATCGCATAATACACCCCAGGGGAGCCCGGCTAGAACTCATGAAGAATTCAAAACTTGTTTGGCGATCTGCCACTGCGGAGTGGAGCTTCAATCTCGAGCGGCTCTGGAGGAGAAACCGGGTCAGCAGCAGTCTTTACTTCTGTCAGGATGGAAACAGTGATACGGGGAGTGCCTCCACCGGAGTGAGGAGATATTAAGCTGGGAACAAGTCCACTTATCCATCCCGGGGACTAATTAGTCACTAGCTAATTTGCTTGCTGTGACCCAACAGAGCTCAACCTGAGGCTCAGGACTCTCTAAGGATCGCATGAGCGGATGCCTTGCCTACAAAATACTTTTTATTAAACGAAGAACAGGATGTAATACAACACTTTCCTCTGTTGGCCATGCACTTTCAATGTTGCCAGGGGTTTCTTTTGGCAGGTCCAGTATTTTTAATGCTCTAAAGTCTCACTCCATACTCCACAATCGAACAACGCTAGAATTAATAACAAATTCTGAAATTAGCTGACTGATAAGCTCTGTCAAGCAAGGGATTGGTACCGAAACCAAGTATTATACAGGCTAAAAGATTAAAGGTCACCTATTATAGTATTTTTCAACTATATATATTATAGGTCTCAGAGAAAAACAAAACAAGTGTGTGAAGTGTTTGGCTCGAAAAACCAAACCGATCATGAATTGTAGCATGCCATAAACCCCTCTGTTTCAGCCTTGTTTCAAAAGTGCTGATTCTGTGTCCGTAGCTTTAAATGCAAATGAGCTGCTGCTGGCCACGCCCCTCTGAAAAGTGTTCGGTAAAAAAAAAAAAAACCACAATGGTGCTCAATATGTGCGATGAAACATTTGTGAGTAAAAGTGAATACTTTACAGATCCACCTGTGTAATAAGCATGAACATGTATGTATAGCACGCTAACCTGGCTAGTGCCATATTGTTACAAACAAGCGGTAATCAGAAGTCCGAAGTTTGTTCGTCGTCTCACTGCTTAGTTTGCCACATGTTGGTTGTGTATGCCTCAATCAACAACCTTGAAATGTACTATTTGACGTTTTATTGGTGTCTGGGTCAAAGGTTTGTGTCTCCCTTTATTCATTTCAACAACCAAGAAAGGCTGCTCATGTTTGCAGGAGAGTGACTTGATTATGTCATACATCCAACCTGCAAATAACAGGATTTGTTTCTCTTTACTGGTCTAAAAAATAAAACGTTGAAGGAACCAGTTGCTTTTTTCACACTGAGGACTTACCGTGAGATGCATTTTAACAGAAACAATGATGAGCTTAATACTGTGCATGTGTTTTTGAGTGCCTTTACCTTGCGGCCGTCGCTTGCGTGGCAGTTGACGTTGAGCGGTGTGAGCAAGGCCATTAGCTTCTCCTCGTTTCCACTCCTGCACATTTAAACACACACACACATCCAGGCATTAGATAGAAAACATCCAATACCAGAGAGGATTAGCCCTGTTCCTCTGCAGGAGAGTGTGGGGGAGAAAATAAGGAAGAATGAGATAAGGAAGAAACACACTGAACAAATGGATGTTTGGAGGGGATGGATTGAAAGCTATTTTTGTGTGTGTGTTTTCTTGTAAAAATGTTTGCAATAAAATAAAAACTGTGAAGGAAAACTATTAAGTCTAGTTGCAGTGGAGTTTGTTATGTTGTTGATCGGTGTTTCCTGGTCCCTAGGCTCACTGCCTTGGCATTGGTGTGACCACCAGGAAAGTGTTGCCAAGGCAGCGACCAGTCCAACCATCATCTGCCTGACAGCCGTAAAGGAGGAAGCTGTCAGATGGAAAGAAAAGGATTATTCTTCCATTCTCCTATGTTGCTTTCCTCTCACTCTTTCTTTTTTTGGTTGGGCCTCTCCTTCCTTCTCTTTGTTTCTCTATCTTACACTCTCTGAGCAAAAGAGACATTCACAACTTCCAATCTCTACTCTCACTCCTCCAGTTTTACTACCTTTAAGGCTCATACTAACTTTTCGCATTGTGTGTCCGTGGACCGCCAATTGCACATTTACCTATTCACACTGCATGTTAACTTCAATGCCATGTGGCTTTCTTTGCATACCTTTATTATGTAAATAACTGTTCAGTGAATCATCTCATACATCTCTCTTTAAAACAATCATTCAGTTTATGATTATTTGTGTCTTGTTCCTTTTCTGAAAACCAGCTAGAGCTGTATATTCCACCAACTGGACTACAGTGTTGAACCTAACAGGTGCAGTCATTGCACTAGCTAAGCGTACAGTCTTGCAGTTAGGGCTGCTCGATTATGGCAAAACTCATAATCTCGATTATTTGGGTCAATAATTGATATCACGATTATTAAAAACGATTATCCATTTACTTTGAAAACATCAATTTATTGGACAATTTTTTTTTAACAGTATGTTTTTAAAAGTTGATTACCCTGAACTTTAAGTATAACTCAACTGACATTTTTTAAAAAAATAAGAAAAAATAATCGTTTTATTTCGATTACGTTGTTTTCGTAATCGTTGCAAGCCATAATCGTAATTGCGATTACAATACGATTAATTGAGCAGCCCTACTTGCAGTCACACATTTTGAGTTGCACACAGACCATCTTCTCTGGGAGGTCGTATCCTGATCACCATGTTCACAAATCCAAAGTGATTCTATTTCTAAAACAAATTCAAAAAGGAACATGAGTAGCATTTTCTTCTTATATATTTTTGGAGAATGTCAGATCTCACACACATGATCTACAGTGGCCATCGAGGGACAGTGCTCACAACCATGCCTGAATATTTATAAATGTTTTCATGTAAGAAATGAAAAATGTTTTTCTGAAATCTCTAAGTGTGACTGGGTCTCCACTGCTTCTTTTTCGATGATCTTATCATCTCAAAGCCGAAGGGTAATGGTGACGATACCAAAGAAGAACAGCCTTTGGATACTCAACATTTACATTTGGAATGTTTAATGCTGTTCGAATATCAATAGATTAGGTAGGAAAGTGCCGCTCCTTGTATAAGCTTACTGATCAGAAGTATAATTTTCATTAAATAGGACTTTCAAAGTAGAAATGCTAACAGATCAGACAAACATCATTTCAGATGTTGAATGTTACCCAGACTTGTACTGCCGGCTTGTTGTCTGCCTGGCTGCCTTAAAGAGACAGGCTAGGTTTACTACAGTACTTCTGTAATACATCTGCTGTCGAGGACATTAATGATAATGCTTTGCTCAGTCAATGCATCAAGCAACTCCATTACTCTCAGACTATGAGGAACCATTTTACCAGCTCTACTCATGATGCTTGCATACCGCTTTCTGTGCAAGGAAAATCTGGCCCACAAATAAAAATGAAGCAGAAAAACAAAAACATCCCGTAAGCCATGTTATTTCACCAAAAGTAACACTTAGAAAAATGTTTTTCTTTGGATTGACATTGAGCCAGTCAGCGCCTCTGCTGTGGTGGAGGCACACTGAGTTCACAGTTCACACTTAAACAGTCTGCTGACCCCCATAATACACTGGGGTACTGCTATGCTAAGCCAGCTGCTTCCCTGTATGTATGTGTGTGTGTGTGTGTGTGTGTGTGTGTGTGTGTGTGTGTGTGTGTGTGTGTGTGTGTGTGTGTGTGTGTGTGTGTGTGTATGTATGTGTGTGTGTGTAGACAGAGAGAGGCTGTTGAGGCATTGAGCGCTCAGCCACCCACACACAATCCCAAACGAAAGCTATGCCATTCCTACAAACACACAGGCACATGGTGCACACACACACAGGCACATGGTGCATACACACACACACACCAACACATTGCCCACATGGTTTGCCTGCAACCATAACATGCCTCTAAAATGCACAAGTGTCCCTGGCCTACATGTTCTCTGGATCTGCAAAACCTGTCTAGTGGAGGAGCTGGGGGTGTGTGTGTGTGTGTGTGTGTGTGTGTGTGTGTGTGGTGTGTGTGTGTGTGTGTGTGTGTGTGTGTGTGTGTGTGTGTGTGTGTGTGTGTGTGTGTGATGGAGGGAAAGGAAAGAAGAAGGAAGCAGCTAAATGTCTGAATTATGAAATTTAAGCTTAAGTAGAGAGAAAATAAGCAAAAAAGAGAAAAGCCAAAGAAAGGACATGAGAGGAAAAGGGAAATTAAAAACAAGGACAGGATGAAAAAAAGGAGAGGAGAAACAAAATGGAAAAACAGGAGAGGGAAGAGAGGATGAATCAAGAAGCAGAAGCAAGAGAGAGGAACAAATAGAAGAGCTGAGAGGAAGCATACAAACAAAAAAGCAGAGAGGAGGAGAAAGGAAGAAACAGTGAACAAGGAAGGAGTAGAAGGGACGAGGAAATAAGTGATGAGGAAACAAGACGTGGAAAGGAAACAGAGGAGCAGAGAAGAAAGTAAGCATGGAAACAAGAGGCTGAGAGGGAGTCAAGGAAACGAGGAAGAGTCAAAACATGCTCCTGTGGGTATTGTCCACAGTACATGGCCATTGCATGTATGATATGTGTAATGTGTATTTGTAAAGCGCTTTGAGCATCTGGAAAAGCGCTATAATAAATGTAAGGAATTATTATTATTATTATTATTATGAGAGGGAGGGAATGAAAACAAAGAGAGTGGTACTCACCTCGCCGCCTCCAGCAGCTCGTCCTTCTTGTATTCACCTGGATGGTGACAGAAGATCATAGAGTCAGACAGGCGGCCGCCAACACACACCGACCACACACACACGCACATGATCAGCCACACACACATGTACACACACACACAGAAGAAGGGAAGCATCTATCCATTGAAGGAAGACACCCTCTCTCTCTCCTCCCCCCTCCTCCTCTCTTTCTCTCTCTGCCATTCTCGCACAGTGCGCACCCCTCTGGCTCCGGTTGCCTTGGCGATGTGTTGCCGGCAGCGACCACAGCACGTTCATTGTTTGGGCGACGAGCGGCGGACTGACACTCCCTCTGCCTCTACGCGTCCGTGTGTCAGTGCATCGCTCCCGCCGTGCTCGTCTCTCGCCCGCCGCTCATACTGCTAACCATCTTCCCTTGTTCTCCATCATCTCTGTCCCCCTCTCTCTCTGTATATGTATGTATCTCTCACTCTCTATGTCTCTCTCTCCCTGATTTTTCTCCCCTGTGGGCTCAGGAGGCGCAGTTACCATAAAAAAAAACACAACAGAAATAAACAAACCCCTCCCCCTCCCCCCCTCGCCCTCTCTCCCTCTCTTAGCCCTGCCCCCCTGCTACTACAATCACAACACACACACCTTCCCATATGTCTGCTCCGCCTGGGAAACTCGGGGGGGGGGAGACAGGAGCTCCTCGCAGACATGGGATCTGGATCATTGCTGAATTGTTAAAGCCTTTACTTAAACTAACATACATCTTCCTTAAGGGGTGCACCATGTTTACGTTACATGGAATATTTTTTCAATTTTTTTTTTTTCTTTTAAAGTTAACAATATTTATATTAATTGTATTTATTAATTATTCATCGTATCTTACAATTTTGCTGTTTATTACTTTAATTATTATAATCTTTTTTACTTGTTTTTTTATTGATTGACTTTAATAATATTAAATATGTACATTTAACTCTTCAGAAACGCCGACGAGGGTGTGCGTTTCTTCCTTCGTCATGTGTTAAACTACGTTCACGGTATTCCTACCCTAAGATGGCAACGTCAACAGGTAATAAAAACTGAAAACGTAAACCATGAATGCCCTAAAGAAATTAAATTAACAAAGTGATAATACTCGTCTTGCTTGACTGTGTTTTGCATTGTTGGAAAATAACCAACTTTTTTGTGGCGAAAAAAGAAATGGGCATGCTTCCTTTTGGTCAGCCTCCAAAATATTTGATCCTACACTTCCCATAATGCAACTCAATAGTACATTCCATCAGACCGGCCCTATCTTAAATGCCCACCTCTCAGTTTGGACCACAGGCTTTCTTCTAATATTATTACGTCTCCAGCACTGTCTGATGGGTTAGGGTTACGTTTTAGGGTAGTACTCTTGTAAAAGTAAAAGTCTGCATTTTTATGGGCAGTTACATGCTGGAGCTATTTCTCTCTGGACTCTATTGTAAAACAGCTATGGGAGCTATATGGCTGAACTTTGTAAGCAGTGCTATTCTTAAATTAAAATAGGTCTACACAACAAAAGATGAACAGATTTGGTCAGTGGATGAGTTCTAACAATAGAAAAGGAGCCACAGAAGGATGTGTGATGTAGGACTCGAGGAGACCAAACCAGTGACCCTCCACGTCATCAAGGTAAACAATGTGTTTTACAGAAAGCCACAAGAAAGGTCCAACCAAGTAAGATTACCTTTGAGACTTCCACTGAAAAGTCCCACGAGGGCTTATTCATACATAAAAACCAATATGTAAAATTACATATTTACCCAACGCAGTTCATCTCCGAAAGGAGCCCCGAGCAAAAGAGAGAGGAATAACATTGGAATAGGATAGGAAAGGAGAAAAGTAATTCAAAGGAATATGGAGAGGCAAATGTGATACAGATAAATTGAAAAGGGATGAGGAGGATGGGCCAAGTGTACACGGCACAGACGGAGGGGTGGGGTGAGGAGAGGAGAAGAAAGGTTACGGAGAAGGGAAAAGGGGGAGGAGGGAGGAACAAAGGATTTGTGGATGAAAGAGAGGAGGGATGATTAGGGATCTGGAAACTGACATGCATGGATTTGACACAGTATAATTGGTGTTAGGGAGGCTAAGGCGGAACAGTCAGCGGAAGACGAAAGGGGGGAGACGGGGACGTTGGGGGGGGGGGTAAGAATACAAAGAGAGAACAGAGAAATGTTCGGAGACCAATCAAGATGTTAAATTAGATTCTGTACATTTCAAGTGCGGATAATATTTGTCCACTACACACCTGATTGTCACGCTGCTTAGATTGATTTTAATATCAGAATCAATGTTATCATTTCTATTTAAGTGCATTAAAGTGATGTATTTTTTATTTGGTAATACCGTTCTATTTTGTTTGGGAGTTGGGATGAACGCTCAAAGACGCTACCTGATGTTTTCACACTGTTAACTTTATCGTGACACTTTATTGTTTGGATAACAAAGCTGATATGAACCTCATTGTTCAGCATCGTCTTCTAAACAACATTTTCCCCTCCCAGAGATTTCTCCCTTGGCACGTTAACTTCTCTGCATCCTTCCTTCTCTTCCACGGTCTGAGAATCTAAAGGGAAATGTTTATTTTTTGATGTATGACCAATGACAAGAGGGGAGTGACTCAGTCTCCCAATTCAATCAGACAGAGTATAATTTACACCTGAATGAAAACATATTCTATACCAACACGTTCTGCTGACTCCGCTGCCGTGCATAGTGTGCAAATTAAGGCGTTCAAATGAATTGTGGGCAATACTTTATAGATATACTTTTTGCCCGACGGCGGTTTGCTTCCAATATTATTCATGCTTAGAGAGCTAAAGTGATTGTGACTCAGCAGTTATAATTAGTTTCTCTCTCGCACACACATACACTCAACCCAAACCTCACACAAACACACAAAGCAAGAACAAAGATGGATAGGCTTATTATGGATTATATATTTGACATTACAAATATTTTCTAACACACAAGATGGTAAATGGACTGTATTTATATAGCGCTTTATCCAGTGTTTTCGACTCCTCGAATCGTATTTACATTTACAAGTCAGCATTCACCCATTCACACACAGTTATGCAGACAAACATGTTGGGAGCAGTGAAGCTAACATAACATTTGTAGTGACTTAAAGGTGGGGTAGGTAAGTTTCAGAAACCGGCTCGAGTGCACTAAAATTTGAAAGTACACAGCCGAAAAGAATCCGCCCCTTCCTTCAGACTTCCTTACAGAGCACCTCCTCCAACACACATGAACGCGCAATGCACGCCCAATGACGGCACGCCCAATGAGGGCACGAGATACATTTGTGCGTGCACGAGATGGAAGGCTGACAGACAGGGCGGCAAAAACGGATTGGTTGTACTTTTTACAGTATTACGGCTTCCACAGATGACATTTTTGTATGGATTTTTTGTCAAAGCACTTCAGATATTCATTGCTATCGGGATGTTAAGAGCATTCCATGGAATATAACAAAAAGTGTATCTCGAGCCGGTTTCTGAAACTTACCTACCCCCCAAATATTCAGATGTAAGTGTCATATGGTAATGAGCCAACATGTGACAAAGAAAAGAGAGCCACATTTGAATGTCTTGATGAAATCTTTGTTATATCTCAAAAATTCTTGAGAAAGCGGTCGCAAAACAGTTGTGTGATTACTTAAAAAACAATGATTTATTTGAAGATTTTCAGTCTGGCTTTAGAACACATCATAGCACAGAGACAGCTCTGGTTAAAGTCACAAATGACATTCTAATAGCCTCTGACAAGGGACGTGTCTCTATTCTTGTTTTGCTCGATCTCAGTGCTGCATTTGATACTATCGACCATGATATCTTATTGCAAAGACTAGAGCACTTAGTTGGCATACAGGGAACTGCTTTAGACTGGTTTAGGTCCTATCTATCTGAACGCTCTCAGTTTGTACGTGTCAATGATGAATCTTCCACGCAAACCAAAGTTAGCCATGGAGTGCCACAGGGCTCAGTGCTCGGACCTACTTTGTTCACATTATATATGCTTCCGTTAGGCAATATTATAAGGAATCATTCTGTAAACTTTCATTGTTATGCGGATGATACTCAACTATATTTATCAATCAAGCCTGATGAAATTAATCATCTAAATAAAATTCAAGACTGCCTTAAGGACTTAAAAACGTGGATGACCTTAAACTTTTTGATGTTAAACACGACCAAAACTGAAGTTATTGTACTTGGCCCGCAGAATCTACGAAACAAATTATCTAAGGATATACTAACTATGGATGGCATTCATTTGGCCTCCAGTGAGACTGTAAGGAATCTTGGTGTTATATTTGATCAGGATTTATCCTTTAACGCCCACATAAAATCAATTTCAAGGACCGCCTACTTCCATCTACGTAACATTGCAAAAATCAGGCATATCTTGCCTCAAAACGATGCAGAGAAACTAGTCCATGCATTTGTTACTTCAAGGCTGGATTATTGTAACTCTTTATTATCAGGGTGTACCAAGAAGTCAGTCAAGTCGCTTCAGCTGATTCAAAATGCTGCGGCTCGTGTACTAACCAGAGTTAGGAAAAGGGACCACATTACTCCTGTTCTGGCTGCCTTACACTGGCTCCCTATAGAACACAGGATAGAATTTAAAATTATTCTTCTCGCCTACAAAGCCCTTAATGGGCAGGCGCCATCTTACCTTAAAGAACTCATTATACCCTACTGTCCTACTAGGGCATTGCGTTCCAAGAATGCAGGGTTGTTGGTTGTTCCTAGAGTCTCTAAAAGTACAATGGGAGCCAGAGCCTTTTCTTATCAAGCTCCACATTTGTGGAATCAGCTTCCAGTTTGTGTTCGGGCGGCAGACACCCTATCCGTTTTTAAGAGTGCGCTTAAGACCTTCCTTTTTGATAAAGCTTATAGTTAGGGCTGATTAGATTCAGCCCCTAGTTTTGCTGATATAGGCTTAGTTTGTTGGGGGACATCTTACTTCTTCCTTCTCTCTGTCTATACCTGTGTACTCTCATGTTCC